ACCCAGTGCTCTCTACAACAGGCACTAAATTCAGTTACGAACTGAATATGTTTGTTTGGTTAGAGGGTTTTTCTGCACTACATCCAGAGATGGTAGTTACTTCTACTATCACCCACCGTGCAGTTAAATGCACTAGCAAGTGGGAGTTCATTCATGCAACTGTCAGAAACTTTTGTTTAACTTCAATAGACATTTAAATTCTCTGCACACATACAGCCAGCTGATCTGCACTTCACTCACCAGCTCACATTAAACGCTGAAAACTCCTGTCTTCCATTCAGATTTTTACGCTTCTGGTTTTCCTCCCTTCTAATGATGCTCATTGAAAAACAGGCAAGTAACAGCTAGAATCATGTCTTAATACAATTTTCTTATGTGTTTCTAAAAGATTTCCTTATCTGTTTTCATCACATTGTTCTGGCTCAATTCAAGCCTCAGAGAAGGCACAGCTCTGTAAATATGGTTCCTGGGCTAGAAGAGTAGCAGTGCAGGAGCAGTTTTACAGCAGTAAAACATGCACAAACAGCAAACTGGTCATTGTAAGGGTTGCTTAGTTTGGTTTTGTTTCAGCTCATTTTTTAGTTGCTGCTATCCTGATTGCAAAAACCATTCCACCCACAATTTAATCTCTGTGGACTAAAAGGTTCAAATAAGGTTAGAGATTGCAAGAGAGAGAGAAGCATCCACACAGATGTTCTCCCTTGCTCAGGCTGCGGGAGACAAGAACCTTGGGCTCCCAGCCTTTAAGAGATACTTCCTCCCTGATTTTACCTGAAAATAAGCTTGTCTAAACACGAAGTCCAAAACTGTCAGCTGCAAACCAAAGCAGATGCCAAGATATCAAACTTGCTAAAAAGCATAATGAAATATTTTAGTCATTTTAAATAGAGGTATGTTACCAAAAGCTATCCATAATCCCCGACATTGAAGAAGCCAAGTTAGGGTTTGTATGTCCCTTCTCAATGGCTATGAAAACTACCTCTAACTGACAACAGCAGCAATTTACCTGTAAATAATTCAGAGGCCAAAATTTGTAAGCGGTTCTTGACCTTCGGGGACCAGTTTCACCCAACCGCCTCCCTCCTTAAAGGGGGCGGAAGGGACAAAGGACCGCGGGCAGCAGAGATGCGGGGCGGGCCGCGGCTGTGAAGGTCGCTCCGCTGCCATAGGACCGCGGGGGCCCGAGAAGGAGTCGCTGCACCTTGCTCGGCGCTCCGTTTCGCAGGCCTCGCCACCGCAACGCCGCGGCTGCCAGCGGCCAGATCCCCGCCGTTCTCACCCTCTCCTTCACCTGAGGGAGCGGACGCAGACCCCCCGGGGCCGGGTGCTAGAGCGGGTCTCGCGTTCTCCAGTCTCCCCCTCCCGGGCCGCTGCCGAACCCGAAGCCCGCCAACCGGACATACTCACCCCGCTCCGGGCTCCCCAATCACGCCCGCCGCCAACGGGGCACGGGGGGCGGCGGCGCCCCGGCGGGCCGGGGGAGCTTCGCTGCCGGCGGCGGCCACCTCCGGGCTGGTGGCTCCCTCACGGCTCTCCCTCGGCCCGCACCGAGCGGGCAGAGCGCAGGGGCTGCTGTGGCCGGCTGGCTGCTGCTTCCCTCTCCTCCTGCCGGCGCCTCATGTGCCCTCCTCCACGGCCTCCCCGCCGCTCCAGCTCCCAAACAGCGCCCGGGGCACGCTGCCAACCCCCTCCTGCCGGGCGGCAAAACACGTGGGACGGCCGGCGGCTGCTCTCCTCGGCTGGGCCGGGCCGGGCCGGTCGACGGGGCCTGCTCTAGAGGCGGGGCGGAGCGGGAGGGGGCAGACACACAGGGGGCCGCGGACACCGCCCGCCACCGGCGGGGCAGCAGGAAGGGGAGCGCCGCTGGCGAGCACCGCGGCGTTCGCAGCGCTCCCCCCGCCCCCGGCGGCCATTACCTCATGGCCCAGCCCTGCTGCGGGGAGGGGCCGCGCGTCGCCCAGCAACCGGCCCCCTGCCGCGGCCGAGGTCCGCGCAGCCGTTCGTGTGCCAGAGAAGGGGTTGCGGCTCTGGCAAGCGTTCGGGTTGGTTGTGACCACCTGGGCCCGGCTGTGAATGACAGGGCTGGTACAGCCGGCACGCTGCCACGGCGACCTGCTCGTGGAGTTCCCGCGGTGCAGGCGGGAGCGCTGCCTGCCTGAGCGGGGCAAAAGGGCTGGAACAAAACCCCGGCCGAGCACGCAGGCAGGCTGCAGGGACGCTGGTGGACAAAACTACCGAAACGAGAATAGGGGAGAGGGTCCCGGTGAAATACAGACGTTCAAAATACGTGTTTCTTCGATCTGGTAGAAGAACGAAGGAGAGGAATCTTGCCTGTGCCCTTCTGAGGAGGAAAGTTGCAGTATGAGTGCGAGATACATTAGACATAAAATCTGCTAAGGAAAAGATTTGTTATATATGTCCCACTCACGGAGAAAAGCTTCAGTCTAGATTCTTAATAAATCTAATCATAAACCAACCACCCAAAAACAAAGAAACAAACGACCCACAGAGGAAACCATGACTTCTTGTTTCTTGTGGCTCACAGAACTATTTAGTGGAGGAGGGTTTGATTGTTGTTTACCGGCAAGGGAAGAATTGTGTCCAAGGTTAAAGCTGGTAAGAAAAAAGTGGCAGCCGCACTGGTGAGAAGCCTGGGATGTGTGCTGACCTCGAGCAGGTGCAAATGGATTCAGGGTTAGACTCTCAATAACCCATAAAAAGAAAGGCTCCAGCCCTTCACAGATGCAAACAAAGAGAATCCCACTTGGATGATGGAGAGGAGAAATGTTGCAAGAACAGAGGCTTGACAGGCACTACCAACAGGCGTGTCTTGAGGGCAGATCCCCTGGAAGTGAGTCAGGGTACAGTTGGATGGGGCATGGGAGTCAGCCTAAATCTTTGCTGCAGCCAAAGGAGCAGGCTGCTCCCCCAGCTCCTGGCCTTCCCAGGGGCTGGCTCTGCTGCTTAGGATTCCTCAGTGGGTGACTCAGTAATACTGAGTGCTAACAGAACTAATTATATTCTTCCCTTTGTCAGTTTTCTGCCAGATTAGTAAACTGAATAGATTCACACTAAGATCATAAAAGTATCATAAAAGAGCACAAAGGAAACGTTTTTGTCTGGGAGGAACAGGACCATCCCTTTGGTAACCCTGCACTCTTAAATCATCTAACTCCTCCCTGAAGTAGAAACTTCATGTTCCTTTAGGCAGTCTAATGCCTAGGTTAAAAAGGTTGGTCCCTTCCACTTCTCACCCTCAGCTGAGTCCTCCCATTGCTTCCTGCTTTGTGCTGGGTCTTGTCTGCGCATGACCCAGTGAGCAAGCCAGATCTGGAGGTTTAAAAAAGGTCCGGTTTCTGATTAATTCTTGAAACAGCTAACAGTGGAGTCAGATGAGTGACAGAGGTTGCTCAAGAGGGGGAACAAGACTCTGTAGTTGCAAATGAGGGATAGAGCCTTGCAGCAATAGCCAGGCACTTGTTACTGTGCATAACGTAAGCCCAAGACAGCAGTGAGGAGGAATGGTCTGCACAGGGAAGGAAAAGTTTTGAGGAAGAGTTTGGTCTGTGCTGCATGAAATGTTATTGTGAAGCAAGGGAAAAAGCAGACAGGCTGCTAAGGCGGATAATACTAATAAAAAATAAAAAGCCTTCAGTTGCACAAAAGCAAGAGAAAAACACAAAACAGAATCATCTTGGAACCAGAGCCCAGGAAGGAAATCAGTGCTGAGAAAAAAAAAACAGAAGGCAGAAATGATCTGAAGACAGAAGGAGACCCTAGAAGTAGAAAAGTGAAGATCCACACCAACAACAGAGAGAAGCAAGTCTGCCTGACTAGAGACTTGTTGAGAAGAGCCAACTGACCTGTCATGTCTGTAAGGAACAAGGATTTGAGATACACCTCTGAGGCCAGAAAGAGTCTTGTTAGAGCAAGGAGAAGCCCTTCACTGTGGGACAAATGGCAGTGACATGCCCCATTTATTCCCAAACAGTGTGCGGGAGTGCATTAGGGAGAGAATTGGGGACTACAGGATTGCCAGCCTGTCCCCTGCAAGGTTATGTCTTTATGTTGCTCGTGGGATAGGTAGCTGTTGTTTGGTGGTTGCTGCACCAAATCCTCCTATGATTTGTTGTTGCACTGTGCTTAGTGCACATAAGCATGCTCCATTGCATTATGATTCATCCACCTAGCAATTGGCATCTATTGGCAAATGACACAAGTACCCAGATAAGCTTCCTAGATTTCTCTGATCATGTTTTCATTATTCTCTCAATTTCTGCTCTCTTCTTGATTATATTTATCATATTCAGTCCCAATTTTGCTTCGATTACATTTCTAGAAGAGACTTCTTATTTCCACCTTGCTAAAATAGAAGACTTCTCGAATATACTTTTCAGTGAGGATGCTGTTTTTTCCTGCATGTTATTCACTCTAGAACTTCTTTGATTTCTTTACAGGGACTATAAAATAATACAATATTGCCTTAAAAGCATTTAAAACAAGTTTCAGAAATCTGTGGTTAGTTTGCCAGCTGAAATCCCAATTGCAGCTACAGTTGCAGATGATTTGAATCTCAGAGCATAAGTTAATTCCAGTGGGCACAAACAAATGATCTGAAAAAATCAAACATACCTTTAAACCATACCCACAAATGTATTTCTGAATAGCTGTGTCATGGAGTTAAGAAAGAAGTTGCAGTACTTCCTCTTCTTCTTGCTGGTACCTGCTGTGACTGGCCCCATTCTTGCACTTTTATATTCACATGGGCTAAGTAATGCTCTAAGCCCTTTAAAAGGGGTTATGAAGTATCTGCATAATGCTGCCTGCACGGCATGTTCTCTTGTTTAAATGGTGGCTCTTGTAAAGCTAGTGTTGCTTTAACTTGAATATCAATAAACGTAAATTCCTTTAAGTTATCTGACTGAGCATCTGAAACTTAAAAATGTGACATCTTTTGATGGAGTTTCTTCTGGTTTTGTGTTTTATTTGGTTTTTGTTGGTTTGTTTGTTTACAGCAAGGTATGCAATGCTACCTTTGCTGGAAGAATCAAATCAGCAGAAAAGCTTTTCTTGCTCAGTGCTCTATGCTTCCTTCAGCTAGCATCAGCCAGCACGAATGCTTTCTTCTTCAGGTGCTACTCTTCTGGAAATTTCTTTCCTGTAAACAGGGTGCATCTGTCAGGAGCAATACCAGCTTAGAGCGTTGGTTGGAAGTGTTATTGCAATTGTGACCCAAGGACAACAGGCACATGTAATCTGAAAAGAACAGAAGGAATGAGAAGCTAAACCAATCAAGTGAAGGTTTATCGATAAACTAAAGCATAAACACAAGCAGAGGAGACAAATAAAATGAAGATAAAAAGGTCTTAAGGAAAAATATCATTAAAAAATGACCTCCCTCATGAATATGTATGTATAGAGGATCATATATAATAATTATGGCAAAATAAAGCATTATTACACAGCTTAGAGTCTGAAAAAAAAACCCTGAAGAAAGGAAACAGTGACTGAGGATGGGGTTTTGCACATATTTGACATTAATGAAATGCAAGTTGGAATAGTTTGTAAAGCTCAGATTAGCATTAGAAGTGAAGACAAGTACACAAACAAGCAGGAAGTTAAATGCAAGATAGTGGGTTAATGATAAATGTGCCAGGCATGCATTTTGCAAGAAAAGGGGAATAAAAAGTGCAATCAAGCAAAGCCAAATGAAAATTACACTGTGGAATGATAATAATACCTTCAAGACATTGTGAGTTCTAATTAGGATGCAAAGGATATCCTGAATACACAAGCTGAATCTTCAGAATATACAAAATTAAAGTCATTGCTTTCTGCAGAAACAGTTAAGCTCTATATGTAATAATAGCGCATTTGACTCTTGTGTGAGGCCAAACTGCTGAATGTATTGGAAGAAAATGGGATGTTTTTCCAACATGTTATACCTAGAGAGTACAGCATCTGCTTTCCACACTATCTACTGCATCAGAGTAAGGAATAGGTCAAACATTGAAATACACAGAAAAATACAGCATTACTAGTATTTCCACATCATCTCAGTCACAGTGGTAGTCACTACAAGAGCAAGATTTTGGCAAGGCCTGTTCAGCCTTCCTGCATCAGCAAGGCTGTCATCTCATCATACCTTAGAAGCCAGCAGGCAAGCTTACGTGTTAAGAATGCTGTTAGTAGTGAACCTTGCAGCAGCAGAATATCAGCTTTGCCAGCCGGGCAATCAGCATCAGAGCTGATGATACACAGGAATGTGGTACGAGGAATGCCTGGCAGAAATTGTGGTAGTCTGTAACAATTAACCTCATCTCTTTAGCAGATAAAACTCAGCACAAGCAATAACAACAACGAGGAAGTTGGTTTGACTTTGGTATCATATAAAGAGCAGTGGCTGCCTTCCCAAGGAAACCCAGTGACTCTGGGAAGGTAAAGTAGCTTGTAAGATACCAACCTTTAAAGGTATTAACTCGAGAGAGTACCACATCTCTTTCAAACCTTAGACATACACAAAGCATTGAGACCATAATGGAGGAAGAGGCAACCCAGCATGCTATACATGAAGTACTGGTGACCTTACAAGTTGAGCCAGTGAGGCAAGATTTGGAGCCCTGTAAGAGAAACCACAAGTAATTTTTGCCTCACCAGTGAAACAAACACATTGGAAGGGACTGTTTTGCCATTTTAGCTGTTTCTGCAGCTAAAAGGTCAACTCGATGATTGATAAAACAAATTCCCAAAGAGAAGAATCCCAGGAACTAGCAAAGAATCTGAAAAATCATTGCTACTCCCAAGTATCAGCAGCACACGATACTTAAGTTGTAACATTTAAATTTATTTAACAACTTCAAGAGGCATCAGTGACTACAGCGGCCTTGTACCAAAGAAACAAGGTGACTAACTTATGAGAACCTTAATGTTACCACAGAAATGCAGAAATAAAGAGAAACAGACAAAGTTTCACTCAAACAATGAAAGTATGTGCTAGTTTTAAGAGGATGTTGGAAAAGAATCTGGGGTTAAAAGCCACAAGATAAAGATGTGCTTATGTCCATTGTTCTGCTGAAAGATCAGAGAAGTGGCCCTGTGTGCTTCCCAGGAATGGCAGAACTATCAAGGTGGATGAAACATCCAAATATGATAGATGAGCAACTGAATCATCATACCCAGAACGCTGAGAATAGAAACTCTCTTGAGAATGGGGTCAGTCTGGAATAGAAAGAAACACCATGTACTAGCAAGATGGGGTAGAGCATGAGTAATCATGATAGCTGGGAGAAAAATCAGTGCATCTGGCAAAATAAAACACAAGTATATAGCATCTTCTACAGACATTAGAGCAAGCTACAAGATCTTAGTAAAGGAAAATAAAACATGGAAACATACCTTAAAACTATAGGCGACTAATCAGGCTTTTGGGAATCAGGCAAATGTCAGAGGCTTCTGTAGTACCCATTGAGGATAGAGCCCCGAAGTGTTTAAACATTCCTGAACTATGTGGTTACAATCACAAGATCTCAGTTTACCTTAAATTAGATCATATACTTATTTGAGAACAAGAATTTGATTGCATCTGACTGTCTCATATAATAGCCAGGCAAATAGCAAGGCTGAGTTTGCTGTACAGATTGCTGAGAGGATTGAAATGCTGCAAACAGCACAGAGAATATTTTGCATTCCTTTCTTGAATGTTGAAAATATTCCCACAGAAAAGTTCACTGCAGTTGAGTACAATGCTTGAAGTCATGTTCAGTAACAGACTAAAGGAGTAACAGGCTAAACAAGTTAAAAAAACCAAACACTAAAGACAAGAGTCCTGTAATTGCAGCCCTGATCTGCATTTGTATTTAGATTATTTCTTCATGGTACCTCTTGCACTGGAAGCAAGTAAAATGTTTGAAGAGAGAATTCCTGTTTCTTACACAAAATCAGAGGGAAAATTCCCATCTGGAGTATACTGAAATTGTCTGTATCTTTCTTATCATCTGGATGTACATGTAATGAAGTGTGTATCAACAACAACAACAAAGCAACACAGTTCCAAACTAAGAGGTATTGGAAAAAAAGAGGGGTGTATGTCAACATGTCCCCTGTATCTGCCTTTAATTACACCAAAAATTCTTCATCATGGAGACATTTAATTTAAAAAGCTATGAAACTCTGGTTTGTTATTAAAGCATTGTTTTGTGATTCTCTCTGTGTACTCTGCAATGTTATTGCCACTCTTATATGAAGATTTGAACAGATTTTGTTAAAGTTCATACCGTCTCACTCCCCCAGAATGGGATACTTACCCCCTTGGCATAAAATCAATCTCTAACCTAGACTAACATAACAGAAATCTGTACATAGGACAAAACACTAGAAATCTGGAAACAAAGGCAGTAACCTGATAGTTACTATGGCTTAGTTTGGACAAGGACAATGAAATTAAGTGACTTTTTTAAGATCTGCAATCAAACTGCTGTCAGGAGCTAGTATTCTACTCTTTCTTCTTTATATCAGTCACCCTTATCAGAGCCAAAGGTAAAATACAGATTTCTAAAATCTAAATAAAGCCCTCTTCAAAGCATACTTTTCTTGTGCTTACTAAGAGAAACTAGGTGATGTCTACTTACGCATTTGGTTTATTTATATCCAGTCAACTACTCATTTACATTAAAAAAAAAAATGGAAAAAATACTTTGCTTGTTTAGCTTCATTGGGAATTACAGATCAAGTCTGCAATGGCTGAGAAATTATGCTGCAGAATGGGATAGGATCTGAAATTGTTAAGAAGTGAGCATTTTGCCATGCGTATGTATGGCACGATATGTTTTGATGTTAGGACTCCAGTCAATTCTATGTGGATATTCAATAAACCAGCTGCAGTACTAACCTCTTACCAGTCTTGTAGACTCTCTACCAAACCCCTCAACAGCTGAACTGTGACAGAACTCTTGGCAAGCTGTGTAATTCATGAAGCTTCATTTCCTCCAGGTCTGTGCTTTGTGTCTATAGCCTCCGCTGAGGCGGTATTAAACAAAGCTGAAGCACTTTTTGCAGATAAAACCTTTCTAATATCCCTCTCCCAAGCAGGGTAGGTTGGGTTGGTTTTGGGTTTGTTACAGAATTAGGGAGGTTTCAGCTCATACTGAAATTTTCCCTACAGTGGGGGTAAAAAATCCAACCATCTGTTATCATACAGAATATAGAAACGTTGACTCCTTCCTGCTAAGTATACTACTAATTTTATAAAATCTGGTTGAAGTAGATCAACGGGTTCAAAACTGTTTAGGAAATCAAGTTGAATATGGGATAATGGACAAAACAGAATCCCAGGCTGGTTTGTGTTGGAAGGGACCTTAAAGCTCACCCGGTTCCAACCCCCTGCCATGGGCAGGTACATTTTCCACTAGAGCAGGTTGCTCCAAGCCCTGTCCAACCGCACCTTGAGCACTGCCAGGAATGGGGCAGCCACAGCTTCTCTGGGCACCCTGTGCCTGGAACGTTATTCAACTTGTCCTGGAAAGACAGACCAAATGTGAAATGTTTTATCATGCAATGAGGAAAAGATGCTGACTTGAATCTTTCAAGGGCCTTGCAAAACCAAAAGCAGACAAGCACAAACCCCAAACCCAGCCGTCCCTAGGATGAAGAATGAAGTGAAAACACCACTTTACAGTTAAAAACGGAAAGCGCTCGTTCCAAGGGCTCAATGTTGCCAGCACGAATTATCCCCCAATTAGGCTTTTACAACCCGCTGTAACAGGACTGACAACGCTACCTGTGTTGTCCGATGCTCGGCCCATGGCGGTTTAACAGCAAAGCCCCACAACCAAGAGGGCAAGGTCTGGGATTCCCACTCCTCCTGAGGGGCTTCCCCTCACCGCGGGCTGAGGTACGGCTCAGCCCGCCCGCCCGTCAGCCCCGCGCTGGCGGTTGCCCGGCAACCGGACGGATGCGCCCCCTCCCGTCTCGACTGCAACCCACAACATCCGGGAACTCCCGTCTGGCCCCGGCCCTGCTCGGGGGTCAGCCCCTTCCAGCCCAATGGCGGCTCCGCTCTGTTTCCGGCGTCTGGCCCCGTCTCCTGGATACAGGTGCGAGGTGGCGACCATCCGAGCGGTGCGCGGGGGGGGAGGCAGGACAGACCCATGGGCACCTGGCTCTGTGTTCTCGCTAGAATAAAAGCAAACCCCACAACACCCCCTGGGCTCACTGTGACTGTTGTACCGCTGCTCCTCCGGCTCGCTGTATTTTGTGGTGTGCGCGGAACAGCTTCCCGCCGGAACTCCTCCTCCTCCTTCCCCTTGTGTCATGGAATGCTCCAGTCGTGCGGCGATTTCGGTTGATGGCGGCGGTAACGGCGGTAGTGCTGTTACCTGGTCCATCCGCTGCCCCGCAGGTACGGCTATCGCTTCCTATCCGCCACCCGTCACCTCCCGTCTGCGGGCGGGTAGCGGCCCTCAGAGAGCGCGAGCGGCGCGCGGAGCCACCCTCCCGCCCCTCCCTTCGTCCTCCCGCTCCCGCCCTAGCCCCGCACCCGCGGCCATGTCACGAAGCCATGGGATGGGTTGGGTTGGAAGGGACCTGGGATTGGATTGGAAAGTCCAGTTCCGACTCCCTAGTTCCAGTCCCGGGGGCTGCAGTGCAGCTTTGACTACAGGAGGTCTCGGGTCCTCTCATGAGGAGAGGGAGCAACGTGTTGGCGCCCAGAGCGAATGCAGTTACCTCAGCAGTCTGTTGCTTTGGGTGCTTCTGTGAAGCTTCAGAGCCGGTTCCTTACAGGCGGTGGTGTGGCCGGCTTCCACAGCACCTAGCTCCTCTCGAGATGGTTCTTTGCACTTTTTGCGTCGCTTTGTTTGATCTCTTCATACTTTATGTCAAAACTAACGAATCCTAGCTGTTGAAAGTCTGTCTCGCATGTCACGCTCCGTTAGTTTGTGTACTGAAATGGCGACATAGCCGTTATGAGATTTAGGGTTGTAAGATAAGGTGCTTTTCCCCGTGACCTCCTGCAGCCTTGCTAACCTGCATGTGAAAGCACTCCCAGTCATGAGGTAGCAATGAAGATTTCCCTTTCCTATGACTGCTCTGTGTCGGTGTGGGTTTGTATGTTATTGGTCTTGCTTCTGTCAGATAACCAGGTATTTCTGTATTTGTCGCTGAGCCTGGCACGCATTTGTATGGTTTGGTTCATGAGGGGATGATTATGTTTTACGGATGTCCAATATGAGGCATCTTTAATACATCTGATGTGTATATATGCTTCAGTCTTGTGACAGGGTGCGCATAGCAGGTTCAAAGTATTCTTGAGAAAGAAGAAGTGCAAGGCAGGGGATGTGGACATGTACTTTGGGGAGTGGGCTGTAGTTTCGCCATTTCTTTTGCTGGATGCATTTCTATGGCAATGATGTTCTGTGTTACCAATATTCTAGCCAATTTTGGTTTAAAGTATAAATTTTATTAAACTGAGTAAGCGATAGCAGATAAAACAGCGCTGGGTGCGCCGAGGAGTCCTCCGCTCCGCCCAAGACGCGCACACGCGGTCCCTGGGAGGCGGTCCTTTATCTTCTCCGGTTCAAGGCCCCGGCCAATCCTGTCGCCCCTCCTCACTCGGATGTTGACATGGCTCTTCCCCATTGGTTCCCTTTGTTGCAGGGGTCTCATTACCGAGAAGTTTCGGGAAGTTTCGAGAAGCTCCCAGAGGCTTCGAGAAGCGTCCACGGGCAGCCTCCTCACTGTCGCAGCCCCCTCCCCTCAAGCGTTGCAACAAGACACCACTTCGAGCCACCTGTAATGTGTGGGGTTTGTTCATCAAGAAGTTTGGGGGGAGGGAGGCTCTCTGTGGCTGTCCTTATGTGAAATAATACTCCTTTTGACTCTGTAACTGTTGTACTCTGTAGGTAATGGGGGGAGGTCAGTTGTATTGTTGCGCGGGATTGTGAGAGAGAAAAGGGGGCTGGGTGGCTCGAAGTGGTGTCTTGTTGCAACGCTTGAGGGGAGGGGGCTGTGGCGGTGAGGAGGCTGGAGGCTGGCGGTGGACGCTTCTCGAAGCCTCTGGCAGCTTCTCGAAACTTCCTGAAACTTCTCGGTAATGAGACCCCTGCAACAAAGGGAACCAATGGGGAAGAGCCATGTCAACATCCGAGTGAGGAGGGGCGACAGGATTGGCCGGGGCCTTGAACCGGAGAAGATAAAGGACCGCCTCCCAGGGACCGCGTGTGCGCGTCTTGGGCGGAGCGGAGGGCTCCCCGGCGCACCCAGCGCTGTTTTATCTGCTATCGCTTACTCAGTTTAATAAAATGTATACTTTAAACCAAAATTGGCTAGAATATTGATAACACAGTGGTGGGATTCTTTCCTCTTTTGAGAAGAAAACTTCTGTCTTGGGTAACTCTCTTTGATAAAGGAAATCCTAGAGTCATGAGGCTGCTATGTCTGTTGTGAATTCTGGATCACCTGGGTTGTACTGGGCACCTGATGATGTTCTGGCAAGAAACGTTATTTTAGTGACGGGCATTTTGTTATCTGGTGCTGCATAATGCTGTGTTGTATTTTTGAAGTCTTGACTGAAAACCTGGGCGTTCCCTGGTCTTCCTTTTGTCACTCTGGGAGCTCTGTGTCTCTTGAAAGAGTTAAAGTGAAATTGAGTTTGTGATTTGTGATTAAGCATCTGCAGCTGTTCTACTTAAGCCTTTCCTTTCCATCTTTACTGGCAATTCCTGTTGTAGTTCTTTCTCCAGTATGCTGCTTTTCTGTGGTTTTAGGATAACTGCATTGAGAACCGGTCTTGTTGGTCAAAAAGCAGTTTTATAAACAAAATGGAGTAAATCATGCAGAGTTGAGAAAGAACAACTTCTTGGCTTGGAGATAATTAAATTGGTAGTTGGAAGAACTAGGCAAGAATGTGAAGGTGTCCTGGAGCTGGAAGAACTTACTACAAGGTGATTACTGAGGAGTAGCTATCAATATATCCTGCTTCTGAATGTGCTGGTATTGGGATTTTCTGTGTCTCTGGTTTTAACTTGGTAGCACAGCTGAGGAGCAGGATGGAAAGCAGAACTCTTACTTCATGTATTATAGATGCTTCACTGTTTTGCTATCAGTTCTCCGCTTGCTCTGAGATTTTTAGAGAAAATAGTTATGGAACAAAAGAATTAACTAGTCTCTTATGAGAAGCATCTAGCTATTTAAATATAGAAGTGTCACCTGCTAGGTTTGCAACAAATGACAAATATTTCATTTGTTTAAGTATGTAAATTAAAAGCATTCTTAAGACAAAAATGATAGTTCAGAATATTAATATTCAAAAATCCTGTGGTTTTCAGTTGCATTGATTAAAGTGGTATTTGGCAAATTTAAATTACATTGTGAAAAGTCGCAGGGTCACATTGCCATTTCTGCCCAATGGCTCTTCAGGCAAATCTTATTTTGCAGTTGAGAACTGGGAGGGTAAATACTGTACACCAGTGACTATTAAAT